ATTATTCACGAAACACCAGTTCCCAATGCGATATTTAGAAGATTAGTCCAAAGGCATCATTTTATAAACTAATCGGTTCAAATTTTTTGAACAGCATTTAAACAGAATGATTAATAATTGAAACGTAAAGAAAGTGAAGAAAAAGTGAAGACAATCAATTTATTAAACAACGATCAAAATACAACAAACTATCAGAGAGTGAGTTTGGAAAATTAGGACATTGGACGTTGCAGCACAAATTATACGATATATCAGCACTTGCATTCATTTGAAATTTTTGTTCATGTCTCCTGAAAACAAAACTAAACGTTGAGAACGCAAGGCGAAGCCGAGCTGCAACCTTGACCTAGTTTCTTCAACCCGTGAGAAATCTGGAAGAAGAAACACGTCGAATGATCGAACCTCCCCACCCGCTCCCTCCACCCGTGGATACCATATTGAAATATAGTCGAAGAATGCAACGCGATCATTCAAGCAGAATCACGGAGGGCGTGATACGATTGCAATGATGAACAAGGGAAGGAAGGGAAGATGACAAATCAATACAGCTAGCACTTTATATGATTCGGTAGGCTTATCACTGAGCACTGATAAGATAAAACATACGATTATGGGAATGAGAAAAACAAAACACTCAAAACCTCATGCATATCGAACGCAGTGAATCATCAATAGCCACACCTATCCAAAGTCCCTGCTTCAACGAAAAATAAAGAAATTATCAGCAGCATTTGCCAGTTCTGATTCAAATGGATAGACAATTTCTCATTATTCAAACACATTCAATTTTATCTTCAGTTGATCATCGATTCACTGATCTAGAAACAATACTGACTTGCGACTATCGATTGCTTGCAACAGTTACTCCGAGCAATCACTGAATGCTTGTTCACTCGAATAACTGGAGCGTATTTTTTGGTTTGATTCGAGTCACTCCAAAAAATCATTGGGCAACACGAAAGAGCAGCCCTACATCTCTATGATCACCAAATCAGTGATCTAGATTAGAATTTAATGAAGACAGGTGACTGCCAGCGTTTTGTGTGCACAACGAATGGTGGTGTCAAGGAAGAAAGAATACGATATTTGTGATAATAGAAAAGCCTAAACTCGTAACTGTTCATCAAATAAATAATCACTCGCTAAAAGCAAACGTTTGCCACCTGTCAATTACAGCTTTTTACATATAACTGTGCTCATCATACTAGGTGAAATGATTACAGCGCACCTGAATTATGTGTGCATTATAACACTGAATAGATGTTAGATACTAATAAACTATAGATGTGAATAGGATTTGAATAATAAACGTTCGAGTAGGATTTGAATAGTAATGAGCTCCAGTTATTCGAGTGGACAAGCAGTGAAACGATCGCTCATTATCATTCAAAAGCATGATTCTACTGGATGCATTACATATCAGATTGATGGTTTGCACTGTACGCTGATAATTCATGTTTGTTTCTCGAAAAGCTGTTTCCGAACCACCGAAATATTTCAGATTTGACTTCACGGTATCTGTCGAATACGAATCGACCGTTTCAAAACTTTTCAGTTCAATCAAGTACATATTCTCTGGTTCGCCATATTTCCTCTGGTGCATCTGAAGACTTATCATCATCTCTTCATTGAGCAACCTTAATCCTTTCATGCACCATAATACTTGCAGCAGAAACATATGAAGAATTTGAAAACAATCATGAATATTGAGCAATTTTTTGCTTGCTCTACAGAAATTCCAGCATATTCTGGCTGACGTCGTCTATTGTGATTCAGTGGATGACGTTACGCCTGCCTTCACACTGACGAGATTACAAGCAAATCTCAAACAGCAGCATCGTTCACACATAAAAAGCTCATGCACTGTCAAATCCTAGCCCGCATTCCGCCGCTCCCAATGAATCAATCAAATTGCCATTTCATCTGCTAAGCAAACAGACATGAATAGATAATGTTAATGAAATGCTCGCTGATTGACGATAAGATAAAATAGCTAGATAAATGACGTGTACGAGCTGCACGTCGAATGAATATCACAATTTAAATGAGGAATACAGCAGCAATCAAATATAATATATTCTGAAAGCATTGTTGAAATCCGGAAAAAAATTTCAGAATAGGGAGATGGTATTTCAAGAGGCCGCGGAAAAACATTTGAACAGAGAATGGTCGATATCTAAGTATCACTTCTGAAAGACAAAACGAAAGTTTAAATGGTTTCACCTAGTCACAGAAGGCTTTATTTTTTGAAATTCTGATAGCAGTTGCAAACACTTCAATGTATAAAAACCGATGACACTCGTAAAACTTTTCGAGTGGGAACAGACTGTATCCGATCGTTCTTGAATGATAATAAATCTGTAAGTGGTGAGCTCGGAGAAAAAATACAAAAATTTAGCTTATCTCATCAAATTGGTGTACCAATTTGATGAGATAAGTTAAATTTTTGTATTTTATCTAACAAGGGAAGGTCACGAACTTACCCCCACGTTTCGGGATGAGATATATATCATGTTGTAGATCTCGTCGAGCTGATCACGAATATGTAAAGCATTTTTGCGAAACACAAAGGGGAAGCGAGATTGTAAGATGGTTACAAAAACGATTAAAAAAGATTTGAAAGCAATCTAATGAAATGATCGCAAGCAATCAATTAGGGATGGTTTACGGAAGTATCAATCAAACAAACTAAACATTAATTATGGTTTTTTTGGAATTGTATTAAGAAGCGTTTGCAGAGTATCAGCACAAACGTTTCATCGTTTTTACGTGTCTAGGAATGAAAAATTGCGAATTTCTTGCGTAACGCAAAATGCCTCCTACAATATGAGCTGAATTTGCAATAAGTTTTTGAGGTTATCGACTCAAATCAATTGTTGCTAATTGATCCAACGGCAGCATTCTTCAATTAACAAACCATCTTTCTTGCCATCAATTACAAACACACAGATCTATAACGTAGATAAGGCAGTATAAGCCTGTCTTATCAACGATAGCAATTATCAACTGATTGGCTTATTTTGCTATTAGTTACGTGAGATATTGATGATGTGATAGTGTAACATTGGTCATTGCTGGAACAAAGTGCAAGAAAATTATTCAAATTGACAAAATATAAGCTTGATGAGAATGCTTCATTTGGTTTGAACAAAGACACAAGACTGTGAAGATTTCTCTTTATGAAGTGATGAAATTGGAACAAATATTCAAATGAACATCATGAATACCATTCAATTGATTTCATTTGCTTGTTCTAATTATTAATCAGCAATATATAATAAGTTTTTGAAAACATTACTGGTTCTCATAGGGGGTGAAATTATTGATTTTGAGTAATTGGAGGTGTCAAGGGGTAATGGACCGGGCCGGGAAATTAGTTTTTTGTGCATCTGTTATTTTATGATAGAACGTCATTGTGGTGGTGTTTTTTTAACTCGGATATGTAAATGCGGCTAGCTGATGGCAACACGCTTCTCGTATTTTATGCAGATCATTAGCTGGTCCGGGTTTAACATGGTTTTCATTCGTTTTAACAGGGTTTTCATTCTTTTCCTTAGTGCTGTAATCACTCTCATAGCTTTTATCACCTAAAGTGTTCTCTTCTGCTAATTTCTCATTCATTTTATTCAACAGTTAAAGTCAAATTCTTATTCTATCAAATACACTCTATAATTGATCATTTGACTGTCGAACCTAGTCAAACAATAATATTCGATTGCTGTATTGTTGATTTTGGTTGTCAACACTCGTCAATGCATCCAGTAAACAGTATATGCTACAGAATGAGAAATTTATTCGAAACTGTGAACTGAAATGAGACAAAGTCAGTGAAAAAAATTCATCAATAAAACGATATTCGCATGTAATAGCTATGAGAGTGAATAGAACACGTCTGAAAAGAATAAGAAACCATCAAAATCAGTTTGAAGTGAACGTGTCACAGACAATAGCTTTTCATGCAATCATAATTGATTGCAATCATGAGCAACACAACGGTCTAAGCCAATGGTTCTCAACGGGAGTGAAACACAATAACATCAGTGGATGATTTGATAAAGAGACTATTGAAATCAATGCAGGTCTTCAATGGAAGTACTAATGCTCCACGGATTTTTCCGAAAACTTGCATGGAAGAAGTTCAAAATTTCCGATCTCGATGATGGTGCTCAGTTTCTGCTTATATATCAGTTCACGCAACGTGAGAATTGTATTCTTGAACCATTAAGAAGAAAAATAGGAATTTTTCCTATTTTCTACGAAAGAAGTTAATGATTAATGTGGGAAAATGTAAAGTAGATGCTTGAAATTGAATTGATGGTAACGATCATCATGTGGTGTTATTATAATGGCTCACGTAAATTCCAAACTTAGTGCGATTGAAGAACGACTGAAGCATGTGAAACCTTTTATTTTTACTTTCTTCATTAATTGCTTTCTTTCATTTCATCAGACTCTTCCAACCAAATTGATCGAGGATACTACTTCTTCGGCACGTCTCAAACTGCAAACTCGTTGACCTTCTTGAGCTGAAAAATTTCCGGCCACTTGATGAATATTTTGCGGTATATTTTTGTGATGCGCCGACTATTTCGAAGACTAAGTTTTTGCAATTGCCAGGGCGGAATTAAGCTTACAATTGGGCCAGAGAGGTCAAGGTTTCGGGTGCAGGCTTACACACAAACTTCGTCTTAGGATAATAAGCACATGGAAAACAGTCGAAGAGCGCTCAGCATTCGGAATTCTCACCAACCTTTTTTTGTTGCATAAAGCTGCAATAACGTTGGCAACAAATTGGCAACTTCACTCTACAGCGTTCTCGAAATTTTAATGCAATCAAGAATTGCTGATGTTGTTGTTTTTACAGCTGATCCGTTTATATTTATTTTGGCCGAAGAAAGGAGACCGACTCAGCAGCATTCATACTCGTTGATCATCACACAATTCAAGCATTTTCTCACTGAGAAGTGTTGTTGTGTTGTGTGCCCTAACAATTTGGCATCATGCAGATTCGACCAAATATCAAAAACCTAACCGTATTTTGCATTTTCTGTATATTTTCGTTTATTGGCTATGTAATTCTGTCGTCAGATCAACACTTTCCTGATGTTGCTATTGAACTTCGAGATGTTCTAAGGTATCAGCGAATCAACTCTACAGTTCAATGTTCCTTAAAGTTTTCATACTCTTCCATGCCAAGTTCTTTGTTTTGCACAGACAGCACATGCAAACAAGGCCAACATCGAATTGATTTTTTACAATTCAGTGTATCGCAGTGCTCGTAATCGAGCTGCAGTGACTCCATATATTTATGGTTCACGAAAGTAGAAAACACTTTTTGCAAAAAAAAGAAATTCAAAAAATCATTGAAATAAAAATACTGAAAAGTGTTCGGTGAAGGCACAAACACAAAACGCAAAGTCAATGAATGCCTCAACTGCATGAAATTCTCATCGGATAAGGAAGGAATGAATCAATAAGAACATTTTAAAAAGAAGAATACAACCAATGAGCACGTAAACAGATAAACATTTGCAGCTACGCAATTCTTGCCGTGGAAATAGGAGGTCGAGCCATCGTGAAAATCAATGAAGAAAATGCATTGGGCGTTCTCAGTAAAGGCAAAACAGCCGAAGGCAAAGATGAGCTTCTAACAAAGGCAGATCTGGTGTCGAATTACCTCATTTTAGATACCTTTCGACGATTTCCCGGCATTCAAGTGAATTTTTCAGTTATTTCATTTCCTTTCAGCACATTCATCTCATCATCAACAGTACACACATACATATATCGTATTTCAAGTGCGAAAAATTGCAAAATTTCATCCTAAAAGGTTCATCAATAAATGTGCGAACATGAAAAAGCCATTAGGCGTCTGAGTGCTCTTATTTGATGACCATTCAGAAGCAATCAGATATTACGTAGAATGTTCTTGAACTGTTGAATGCCTACTGGAATTGTTGATGCAGTTTCTTCGTCATAAGCAAACTGCACGGCTACCTTCTAAAATTTTATGCAGAGAGTAGAAATCGATCATGTTATCCTTATTTAATAACAAATAGGATGTATTGTCGTTTTGCACCATAGCACTCTTTCTTAGATATATGAAAGCTTTTATTACAAATTGGTGCGGTCTCACACGCATACCCACGTCTGGGGCAGATATTCCGCGAGTGACAAAAAAGTGGGTCTTAGCTGATTATTTAACTCGGCAACTGATTTTATAAGAGATTCGATTTCGTCAATCCCCGATTATGCCACTCCGCTGTGAGTGTGTCATCTCACTGTTTTTAAACAGCTATTCCGGTGCGCAATGCAGATGTTGCTCAGGTTGTATCAGAAGAGACGGATTCTCAGTTAACCGATGCGGACGTGGAAAAATATCGGGTTGATAACTACGAAGTGTGGCTTGCTGTGCGTGAAGTAATCGACAAATTACCGTCAAAGAAAGTGAAATTGTCAAAGTTGAGTATTTGGGTGGATCCGTTAGACGCCACGCAGGAGTTCAGCGGTAAATTTTGAGAATGATCATTAAATTGAACTGATGATGAATGACTTGAACACTATCAATGACAACATTTAGTCATTCTGTGCTATTAACATTGATAATGCTAAAACGAATAAATAGTGATAACGAACAACATCACTACTTAAAAATGTTGCGTCGAGATCATTATTCCAATTTGAAGAGGGCTTGTTGGATTATGTGACTGTGATGGTCTGTATCGCTTTCGATGGTAAACCAATCTTCGGTGCTATTTATCGACCGTTCTCGAACGAAACAGGTTTTTCACATACCTCTTCATTCAATCCTCGTCAGTGAGTAATACTCAGCAGTCAAATCTGATGCAGTTGTCGTTGTCCATATTAATGTTGTCTGCAAACAAACCAGAACTTGTTTCCACCGGGAATGTGCGTTGAAAATTGTTTAGATCTTCAAGTGAGATTATTTTATTTTTGAATGCATGTCATCATTGTTGCTTATAAATTCTGAAAAAATCTAATTTCAGTATTTGGGCTTGACAAATATGGTGTCATTAAAGGTGACGGTAAGAAATGGGAACCGACGATTCTCAACGATGTGCCGAAAAAGATTCTGATCTCAAGGTGTCCAGGGGTTTACAGACTCTTAATTTCATCATCATCGTGAATTCATAATCTCAGAATGCACTATTTGACTAATGAAATACAGTCAGTTCTTCATCGCACACCTCAGTTTAATGCCGTCTATTCCAGATCGCATGCCGGTGCTGTTGAGGATCTGATCAATAATACGTTCGGTGACGAATATACGGTAGAACCAGTGGGCGGCTCGGGTTACAAAACACTTCGCATCATTAATGGCACAGCTCGTGCGTTTCTCAACTGAATGTTTGAAAATTGCATTCACTTTTTAATAGTAGCCTAGAAAATAGAAGTGGAATAAAAAGCAAACAAGCAGTTGCTCATATCCTCTCTGATGCTTTTACCAAACTTTGTATGAACCTCAACTAACTTTAAATAATCGCAAGCGACTATTTGCAGAAGAGTGATAAGTATTTGGGATGTGATCTTATGTGGATTCTTTCATACCTCATTTACGGCTTTGTTAAGCATAATTTCAGAAATTTATTTGCATCGAACGGCGATTAAGAAATGGGATATATGTGCGGGTAACGCGCTTGTGAATGCCATAAATGGATCAATGATTGATCTGAACGGTGACTCTATTGATTATCGGCATACGTCTGATCACAAAATTGAGCAAGGTCTGTTGGTTACCGCCAAGAATCCATTCACTATACTGCAGCGATTACGCACTCATTACTGACTGTCATCACTGCTTCACAAAATGTGATTGTGATTTTCACTTCTTGTTAGCATCAGTGCCAAAGAAGACGTAGATAATCATGTTAATTGTTCTGTATCCGACAATTTATATATCGATGTATTTCATTAATTGCTTGTGGGATGGATTCATTGTTTGTTCATCGATTTTGCTTGATAGGGTCCTGCAAACATTTTCATGCATAATCCTACTGTGTAATCGTGTCGAAATGTTTCTTTAAACTTTAATTATGAATGCCAGTAATCGCTCGTGTAGGTATGAACCAAAAGTGGAATACACATTTGTATAAATTTTAAAAAAATCTCCTTAAAATAAGTACCTTCCGAGGCTATTTTTAATAATTGAAGGAACGAAGTCATTGACAAATTGTTTGTGAATCATAATTGACCATGATTATGGGATATGATCTTATATGGATTCTTTCATACCTCATTTACGGGTATTGTGATTTTCTATAGTCTGTTAAATATGTTTTCTATTGCCATTCTGATATTGTTGTAGATGCTTCAATGTTTATAATTTTGCACAATTGACATCGTGCGTTGAAAGACCAAAAACTGCTTTACCGTCTGAGATTTTGCATTTTTCGTTGTTATTGCTGGTAAACTCGTTGAGTTTATGGAATATGATCTATTTTATTGCGATATTGAACAATGTGTCTGTTGCATAAAGCGTTTGAAGACGAAGAGAGTCTTTATTCACGTTCGACGAGTAAAGATTCTTAAGCTGTTGTTTCATTTGATTGTTTCGTTCTGAATGATCGTCAAATTCACTGAAATATCTCTAATCTTCTGATGAAAACTCAAATATAACGTTCCAATTGCTTTGATTATAAATCTTCAGTAGAACTTTTCTAAGCAGTTCACTACTATAACTGTAATTCATTCCTCATATCGTTCTCTAGACTTGTATTAAAAATCTGAATTCTGAGTAGCTTCCTGTTTTCCTCACTCGATGGAAACACGTTGTTATTCGTAAATGTATGTTCCACTGGACTCGATTTGCGATAATTTTAGGTGGCAATCATGAATACTTTGGAAGTGCAGTTGAATGAACTGGCAATAGCGAAATTGAGGATAACGTCTGAATTCATTGCACTAAATTATGAGCTGGAGAAAGCATTGGACACATTTCGTTTCAATCTGTCAAGAACAAAGTCAGTTTTTGCTGTTTATCTCTCATTAAGTTTCATTATTGATGGTATTGCACGAGCAATATTGTTATTTATACGTTCATAGCAGCCATCACTCATTAATTCATTCGAAATGATAGAGAATTTATTTTGAATGCTGATACGTAGGTATGTGAAAAGCACGTAGACTTCAGAATACCTTCATAGCTGTATATGGATGGAATCAGTGTATCTCACTTTCAACTGCATCACCCCCAAACTTTTCTACTGAGATTTGGAAATTCCAGCCTTTCCTTACGTGACGTGACGACGCACACCGTTTATGTAATAACGCTGCTGTTCATGTGTAGTTCTATTAATCACTCAAGTCAGAAGATTTTCTCGAATATCGTACAATGATTCTGGGTTGTTTTATATTATTTTTTTAAGGTCAATAGTTGGAATATCAAACGTGAGTGCTTCTATCATTGATTATAGAGAAATGGAACCTACGGTCCGGTGAGTTAGACTGATCATGATGCATTCATTCTGAAGTAATTTGGGTTTATCAATGCTTGGATTTGACATGAGTGGACATTGACGATCTTATAATGATCGATAGTCTCGTGAATATCATGAACGGTAGTGGTAATACTGTCGGAAGCAAATAATCATATCATCAATAATGCATTTATGTTACCAATTGTAATTTTCTATATGTTCTAGAGTTGATGTAAATAGCGACGGAAATTTCACGCTTGCCTCTAATGTTGCATCCGAAAACGACACTAAACCAATAGAATCATTCATGAGAAAGAGAGGAGGTGCAGACAAAAGCACGAGCGATAGTAAGAATGATAATGGGAGTGAGCACGCTAATGAAAATGGCAAATCGAGTGGGCTACGATCAACATCTTCGAAGCACTTCCAGTTTCGACCGTTCGGTGTCTTGGAGCCAACAAGTGCTAAAATGGCACGCAGTGATATGAAGCGTTCCATTGATTTAATTTGTCAAATCGCATCAGTGAAAAATCGACTGCTTTCAATTGCGAAACAGTACAATGCTTTAAGAAATGATTTATCGGAAACGCAACTCTCCGATAAATTGCAAAAAACCTGTGAAATAAATGCATGATTATTGTCATTCATTTTCGGTGTTATTTTTTGAGGTATCTCTTAAGTTGTCATTTGAATTTGAAGTTTTGGAGCAGTTGCTTGAATCAGTGAATTCAACAAAACCTGTGTTCATTATGATAAAATTTGTTGCTGATTCATTTTCCTTGTGGTAGGAACAGACAGCGAGGTCAGGCTTCGGCGACAGACTTTTTTCTGACAATTCAAATTATTACCTCTAATCAAAATTTCCTTCAGTGCTCCAATCTTTATATGTATCGCTCTTGATTGATTGCAACCGCATTTTCCTCACTGGACAATATCATATCGTCTTGTGTAGAAAGCTGCGTGCACTAGCCACTGAAATGAAGCCTTCATTATCACAACTTTTCTGTGATTTTCACTTATTGTTAGCATCAATGCTTGAAAAAAATTGTTGCAATCTGTGATGTTTTGTTACTTATTTATGATGCTGAATGTTTTGTTTCCTTGTAGACACCGAATCAAATGTTGTAAAGTTGTCTTTTTTCCTGAACAGAATGATAAAAGTAATATGATTCATAGTAATCACTCAATTTTTCACTCATTTCTTCATATTGTAAACAAACAACCAATGAGGGGGAGGCTAATGAAAAAAGTAGCTCCGCTAATCATTGATTCGCTAAAAAATGATCTTGCTCCGCTGCAAATGATCCACTATTGACAACGCTGACGAAAACATTTCCCTTAAAGTGCCACTAATTGAAAAAATAGTGGCAGATCCCGCTAAAACGCTACCTACAAAGTTAGACCTCTAATCGCTAATTTCAAATCGACTATTAAAAATTCCAGTTCCGTTGCTGATTTGTTCGGAAGAACCCCAAAAACTTGGCAGATTCATCCCGCTTATCAAAAAAAANAAAAAAAAGCGGCAGTAATTATAAACAAATAATGCCCAAATGAAGAGCCACATCGTCGTCGTGCCTCCAATATGACAGTGATGAAACCTGTTTGGATGAAGCTAGCAGTAGCTAGCAATTATATGAAGAACAATGAAAAGTATACATTTCATGCTTGCTTTCGTGTGAAAGCAATTATATGGCGAATAACCACTGCATCGCAGCAAATGGGATGAATGTCGAAGTTAGCAGTCAAAGCTGGTGAAAGTTGAGGAGTGCATAAAATTTCTGGCCAACTAAAGGAATTCCTCGTCTACTGACATCTTCCCATAAAACTACCACTTTTAATGAACATGCAATAGTATTCAGAAATCCTTCAATTATGGAGTATATTCTGATCATGAGTTGATGAGGCTCGCTCAATATACTAGGGACGAAAACCACCCGAAGCTGGTCCGTAAACATCGGCAACATTGAGATACAATTCGGATTCCAATGAATGAAATTTCAAGTTCTGCCGGATATCTAAATTTCAGCAGGTTGAAGAGTTGATTTGTCGAGTACAGATCGATATTCTGCTATTTTTTTTCGGAGATTCCTCCATTAATAAATTAGTAAAAACAAGATGACAGAATTATCCGTGGTGTCGAACATGCCACCCGAACTACAACTCCGCTAACACAATGAAGCATTAGCCCTAACAGCTTCCGTTGCGCAATTGGTTAGCGCGTTCGGCTGTTAACCGAAAGGTTAGTGGTTCATGCCCACCCGGGAGCGGTCATAAACTTTTACTTAGAATTAACACGTTCCTTTTTCCGTTTTGGAGATGAACCGCGCGGTTCAACAGTTTATTCGTTTCCGTACAAGTGGTGCGAAGAATGCTGCAAAGAAATTCATATGTTAACGGGCAAAGCTGAGAGTACCGTTAGTTGAAGATCGTAACGCCTATAGCGCTATATTAATGTACACAATTGATCCATAGTGATCCAATGAATGTGAATGAGCGCCTCTGCCCTAATTGAGATAGCTTTAGTAAAATAGCTCTATCTCGTCAAGTAAGCAAAATTGCTGGGCAAAATATGTATTTCTCTGAATGAGGAGATCCACCTGGATCGAATGATGCAAAAAAATTCCTATGTTTGTGGGCAAACTTGAGCTTACGGTAGCCCTGAAGGTAGCACCTGAGATAGTAGTAATAGAATGACTATATCTCCTCAACTAAGCCAAATTTCTCAAAAAATTTATAATATTGTGAATCTGGAGGTTCTGCATAAGCGGACGGTGAAAATAAATTCGCATATTTCCGGGCAAACCTGAGAAGACGGTTAGCTCGAAGATCGCAATCCGCCCAAGGTTACCGTAATCCCATCGTTCATGTATTTCTGACAACTTTAGATAAATATATATATCACTATCGCACCATAGGCGTTACGATCTTCAAGATACCGGCACTCTCAGCTTTGCCCGGTAACATATGATTTTTGAGAATGTTGATGATAACATAGGTGGTAAGGTAAATAAAGGTAATAATGATAATTGTAATGGTAATGGTAACAGTGGTAAAATAAGTAATAATGGTAACATAAGTAATAATGGTAACATAATGGTAATGGCAATGATAATGACTACGGTAATGATAATGGTAACATAAGCGAGAATATTGCTGAAATTTAGTGATGGTTGCACATGTGAGGCGTGATTACGGTATCATGGAAATCTTGCTGCGGAGATGGAAGATACACGTTTTGAAGCGCATCAATACGTTAATATAGCAATAGGCGGATTGCGATCTTTGAGCTAACCGTCTTCTCAGGTTTGCCCGGAAACATGTGGATTTCTTGTCACCGTTCGATCCAGCAGAACCTCTAGATACAGAATATCATAAATTTTAGTGAGCAATTTGGCTTACTTGAGGAGATATAGGTATTTTGTTAATGCAATCTCAGGTGGCACCTTCAAGGCTGCTGTCTTCTCAAGTTTGCCCAGTAACATATGAATTTTTTTACGTCATTCGATCCAGCTGGATCTCTACATTCAGAAAAACATATATTTTGTTGGGCGATTTTGCTTAGCTGAGGAGATATAGCAATTTTCTTAGATCTATTTCAATTAGCGCAGTCGCGCTCATCATTCATGTACATTGATCACTATAGAGCAATAAATACGTTAATATAGCAACAGGCTGACTGCAATCTTCGAGAAAACCGTCTTTTCAGGTTCGCCCGGGAACATGTGAATTTCCTTTCACCGTTCCATCCAGCAGAATCTCTAGATTCAGAACATTATAAAGTTTACTGAGCAATTTGGCGTACTTGAGGAGATAGTTGATTTGAGGAGATAGGAGGCTTACTTGAGCAATTTGGCTTTCTGAAACTTGATCTTGAGACCAGTCGTTAACTATACCTATACGCTTCTCTGAGCCGTTGTTAATCACTTGTGAAGCTGATGAATAAATGAATACACATCCAAAATCAACTCAAGCGATTAGGTTGGCCATATTCAATTGGAAGTATTCGGATGGAAATATTCAGATGGAGGATGTTCAGACAATAATAATCGTCTAGCATTGGTATCAATGTTGCTGCCAGCACTGCAGCATTTATCAGTTTCGTGCTGACAACGAAATGATGGAATGATTACTAATGGTCAAGTAATTCAGTTGCAGAATTTGGACACCGTTCCTGGAGATATGGGAACTCCATTTAGTAGTTTTAATAAATGCTCATATTGATTGAATATAGTGATATTGAAATATTATGGTTCCACTGAGCATTAATTAATGGAAGCAGAATCTACCAAACCCATCACCAGGCTTACTATTTTCCTAAAGCTGTAGTGTCATTCCATCGTGCGCAATGTATGTTTTTAGAAAGTCGAGATTCTTCTCGATCTAGCAGCACATGATATTCACATCTTTATGACAAACCTGCTATGACTTGTTGCAATAAACATAGCTAATAGAATTACCTTGAGAAAAGGTTTCAGTTGAGATTGCATATATTCTCTAAAAGCGTTAGGCGTTGATGCCCTGAATGTGGTACTCCAGATGGACTTATGGTAATTTATTGATGATCAGTGTACATGTGTGATATCCTCATAAAAGAATTACTCTTAATTTGAAGAATTATTTTGAAGAACTACTCTTAATTTGCGAGCAACACATTGAGCTCAAAGATTTGCCTTACGGCTTCATCAAGAAGGAGCAATTTACTCTTTATGACAACTGAGGTCCGGTTGAGACTTAGAATAAATATATGTACATATGTGCTATATTCTCCTGGTGCATTAATTTGCCACAGGAGCAAAATTTATTGTAAGTTCAGTCTCATTATTATAAGAAAACATGTCAACGGACTCAATAAGAGTGGAATACGGTAATTGCTATGTTGAGGCTACTCTAAAAAGCATGTGTTGACGTTGTATCGGTGTGGGTTGTTCAATTACTTGTCCTTGCCTTGATTCCGAAGCAAATAATCAGAATTTTAATCAGGTAATCAACTCAGTAAACATAATGATAGCGTTTACAATAATGATATTAAAATGATAACACACAGAACATAATAACATTCAAAAAATGATAACATAATAACAAATATAACAATTTGAATGGTCCAATAAAGAAATACAATCTCACAATATTCACAGAAACAATGTTGGTACTGATATTTTTTAAAAAGAATACGCCATTTTCAGTATTCTTCGCAAACCATCAATGGAAATTGTACTATCTGCAAATCACAGTTGATATAAACGCGATAAGACGGCTATGAACGAAATGAAGTGATCATTTCAACAATTCGTTTACGAAATATTATTTGTGTACAACGGAAATAATCACCTCCGATGTACACAAATAATATTTCGTAAAATTTATTCAAAAAGGTGATAAAATTTATTTTTAAGATAAAAAATTTAAGATAAAATTTATTTTACGATAAAAATTTAAGATAAAATTTTTAAGATAAAATTTATTCAAAAAAGATAAAAAATAATTAAAATTTATTCATTATCTGATGGTGAGCTGGTCGTGCTTTGCCAAATCGCTCCTATGATTTCGTTTGCATTGAAAAATAAATTGAACGGAAAGTGCATGTTTGAGAAATGCATATAATACGGATTTTTCGGAGAATCATGAATGAGAGTG